CGTTAAACTTTGGACTCTAAATTCTGCCATAGAACCGGTCACCGGAATTGCGAGATCGGAGGGTAGAGGGCAGGGTCAATGCAACAAGCTTTGCTTAGGGGGGGGGGGGGGGGCTCTGTTCTTGTGAATCCTTCCAATTAAAAAGGTTAGAACTGATTTTTTTTAAATGTTAATGTTGCTATGCTATTTTGCCGGCATCTGCGAGTTCCTAATTTGTGATGGTAGGTAACGTGTAGGTATTGCTTTTGCCTGTTTCGCCGATTGGGGCGATTATTCTTATGCGCTAGCTGCCTTAGTTTGAACATAATTTATCGTCAGGGGCTTACTACGATGAAGTCCTTTACTTAATTATTACTAGCATCAACCCCCCCCCCCCCCATCCTCGTGCCGGCGAGGGTTAACGGTGTGACTTGATCCATGCCGTTGGCAAACGGCTTGAGTTTTCTTAACCCGCGCCCCACTGGGGTCTGCGTATAACACGCCCTACTGGGGGGTGGGGGGTGGGGCTATTCATAGCCCCCCTCCTAACTCCGAAACTACTGGGCTGATCGTCAAAATTTAAACAACGTCTGATAGCCCCGGAAAAACTGTCGAGCGAAACCTAATTTCATTGACCTCGAGGTTACCGATGACGTCACAGGTCAGGTCAAAGTAAAAATTATTAGCATTTTGGCTTGTTCACGTTTTGGGCTCTGGCCGCCGTCTTACAAGTCAGATCAGGCCCATTTTTGGTTCACACACTCGTGAACAGATGCTCTAGATACCCTGACGGTATCAAACTTGTACTTTGATTTTCAGGTCAAGGTCAGGTCATCACAGGTCACGAAAATATTATATCATGTGTCGGTCACGTGACACATGTTTTATGGTCCATTTAGGCCAAAAATTTCGAAGTTGATGTCGTCTGTGTCATTCAAGGTCATTTTGAGTCGAATTTAGCTTAGGTCAGGTCACTTTCAGGTAAAAAAAGGTCAAATTTTGAAGTTAAAATTTTTCAACAAAAAAGGTGTCTATTGGATGCAGTTTGAGCTCAGGAACACGATGGTGCTATTTATATTGGCGTACGATGTCAAATACGTGCTGAAAAATTGATTTGAAAAATTAATAAGTGTGAATTTTTTGATAATGCGTATAACTTGGCCATTTTTGAAGATATTTAGCTAAAACTTGCTAGAGTTAGTCATAATGACGCGTTCTATCACATATATTCCGTTTTTTTCGAAAAGTCAAAAACTTTCAGAAAAAAATGTAAAAATGTAAATTTTGAATTTTATTATATAAAATTTTCGAAATTTTCAAAATTTCGAAAATCCGAGATAGCAGTTTGATAGCGCAGTCTATTCTGAGTCCTCTCATGCAACGAAATTGGATCTAGCTTAAAAACTGAGCCCTTGGGAGCGATTGCCGTGGTTCAATGTTTTGCGTCGAAATCGGCCGAACATGACGTCACTCTGACGTCATTTCCGGCCGACCTATGGTAGCTACGAAGTTCAAATTTTTACACAAGGTGTGAAATTGATGCAGCCGAAGGAACTGAAAGTTTGGCGTCGATATGTGAAGCAGTTTGGAAGTTATTGCAGAAAAACGGGAGGGGGGCTATGAATAGCCCCCCCCCCCTGTGGGGCGCGGGTTAACGACTTGCATTCACGAAGACGGGGTAGAGCGTTTCAGGCAACCCACCCTCGTCCATCTGTGCCGCATCTTGTATGTCGCATCGCATCAGCTCGGCATTGAGGCTGGCGCAGTGCCGTCACCGGTGGCGAATCGAGCGGAAAACAGAGCCCCCCGCGGTGCCACCGTTTTCGGACGGATGCACATCGTGCAATTTGTGGCGCCGATGAGCCCTCGGAATTCGGGACACGTGACGACAGTGGATCCCGCTCCATTGTGGCGGAGAATCAGCGAAAGCGCTCTAATATGAGCCAAAATGATTTGCAATTGTGTCCTGAGATTTAGTGATACTAGAGGTACAGGTTTACGCGATAACTGTATGTTTTGAGTTATGTTATGTTACGGGTGCATTCGTTTGGGTGATTGACTTGTATTTTTAGCTGTATTATTTGGGTAGATTTGGGTAGCTGTTTTTAATTGAACTGTAAGGGATGGTGATAGTTGCGGAGTGTTCAAGTGTTTTGTATGTTGGGCCCTTTTTGAACACAACCCTACCCCTACCCTACCCCTACCCTACCCTACCCTACCCTACTATCCTACCCTACCCTACTACCCTACCTTACCCTACCCTACCCTACTACCCTACCCTACCCTAGTCCCTACCCTACCCTAGTCCCTACCCTACCCTACCCTACCCTACCCTATCCTACTCTACCCTTACACTACCCTACCCTACCCTACCCTACCCCTAGCACTACCCTACCCTACCCCTACACTACCCTACCCTACCCTACTCCTACACTACCCTACCCTACCCTACCCTACCCTACCCTACCCTACCCTACCCCTTCCCCTACCCTACCCTACCCAACCCTACCTACCCTACCCTACCCTACCCTACCCTACCTAACTCTACCCTACCCTACCCTACCATACCCTACCCTAGTCCCTATACCCTACCCTACCCTACCCTACCCTACCCTACCCTACCATACCCTACCCCACCCTACCCTACACTACCCTAACCTACCCTACCCTACCCTACCCTACCCTACCCTACCATACCCTACCCTACCCCTACATTACCCTACCCTACCCCTACACTATCCTACCCTACCCTACCCTACCCTACCCTACCCTACCCTACCCTACCCTACCCTACCCTACCCTACCCTACCCTACCCTACCCTACCCTACCCTACCCTACCCTACCCTACCCTACCCTACCCTACACTACACTACCCTACACTACCACCGACAGTCCAAGTTTCAGCTCAATCGGCCCAGAAACGGCTGAGATATTGCAAAAACAAATTTATCGTATTTACTGGCGAATCCCCTTGGCGAGGGGTGCCTTGTGTCGGCCTTCGTTGTCAAAGGTCAACGACCTCCCGGCTCTGATGCTTTTCACTCAGTTTTCTAAGCGAAGAACTGAGCCTAAAGCACGAGCGTTTTGCTCGGTGCCGACCGCGGCCCCACCACGTGCACACCGCTGAACCCACACCGTCGAAAATTTAATACGACAAATGAGTGCACGCGATCGACTTGGCGTGAAAATTTCACCCCCGTAGCCCTTACCGTTCCCGAGCAATAGCCTGTTTTTGCCGATTCTAATGCTAACCCTATGGCGCACATGAGCACGCGCCACGGGCGCACCCCCGGCCGCATCGTGCCCAAAATTTAATACGACCTGTTGAATGACGTGACCCACGAGTCGTGAAAATTTCACCCTCCTGCATGAATCGACGGCGCCGCAATAAGCGTTTTTGGGAGTAACCGGCGGCGGACTTTTTAGGATTTATAAATAGTAGACTAGAGGTACAGGTTTACGTGATACCTGTATGTTTTGATTAATGTTATGTTACGGGTGCATTAGTTTGGGTGATTGACTTGTATTTTTAGATGTATTATTTGGATAGATTTGGGTAGCTGTTTTTAATTAAACTGTAAGGGTTGGTGATAGGTGCGGGGTGTTCAAGTGTTTTGTATGTTAGGCCCTTTTTGAACTTAACCCTACCCATACCCTACCCTACCCTACCCTACACTACCCTACCCTACCCTACCTATACCCTACCCCTACCCTACCCTACTCTACCATACCCTACCCTACCCCTACACTACCTACCCCTACCCTATCCTACCCTACCCCCTACCCTACCCTACCCTACCCTACCCTACCACCCTACCATACCCTACCCTACGCTACCCTACCCTACCCTACTACCTTACCCTACCCTACCCTACCTTACTACCCTACCCTACCCTACCCTACCATACCCTACCCTACTACCCTAACCTACCCTACTATACCCTACCCTACCTAATTCTACCCTACCTAACTCTACCCTACCCTACGCTACCCTACCCTACCCTACCTTACCCTACCCTACTACCCTACCATACCCTACCCTACCCTACCCTACCCTACCCTACCCTACCTTACTACCCTATCCTACCCTACCCTACCCTACCCTACCCTACACTACCCTAACCTACCATACCCTACCCTACCCTACCCTACCATACCCTACCCTACCCTACCCTACCATACCCTACCCTACCGTACCCTACCCTACCCCTACCCTACCCTACCCTACCCTACCCTTACACTACCCTACCATACCCTACCCTACCCTACCCTACCCCTACCCTACCCCTACCCTACACTACACTACCCTACACTACCACCGACAGTCCAAGTTTCAGCTAAATCGGCCCAGAAACGGCTGAGATATTGCAAAAACTTATTGTATTTACTGGCGAATCCCCTTGGCGAGCGGTGCCTTGTGTCGGCCTTCGTTGTCTGATTATTTTCACTCAGGTTTTTAAGCGAACAACTGAGCCTAAAGCACGAGCGTTTTGCTCGGCGCCGACCGCGGCCCCACCACGTGCACACCGCTGAACCCACACCGTCGAAAATTTAATACGACAAATGAGTGCACGCGATCGACTTGGCGTGAAAATTTCACCCCCGTAGCCCTTACCGTTCCCGAGCAATAGCCTGTTTTTGCCGATTCTAATGCTAACCCTATGGCGCACATGAGCACGCGCCACGGGCGCACCCCCGGCCGGATCGTGCCCAAAATTTAATACGACCTGTTGAATGACGTGACCCACGAGTCGTGAAAATTTCACCCTCCTGCATGAATCGACGGCGCCGCAATAAGCCTTTTTGGGAGTAACCGGCGGCGGATTTTTTAGGATTTATAAATAGTAGATTGATCCTGTAATATTGCGGTGGCGTTGGGTGCCGTCACAAAATGCAAAGTCGCTACAATAAAAATGTTTGTTGGTAAGAAGACAAGACTGTAGGTATCCGTATCTCAATTCTCTATCCAGATGTCCAAAGCGTCCAAATGGAATAAATTTTGGGTTAGGAATTGCCTCGGTTAGCCACGATCATAGTTCAGTATATTTTCAGATAAAATTGACAAAGTGCATTAACATCATACAAGTCAGCATATTATTTAGATATCTAAAAACGTAACCATCAATATATGTATTATCTTAAGCCTCAGCGGAAATACATGGAAAGACATATAACAGCTAAAAATATGTCAAACCTTTACTCGAAACCGGAACAACCATCTCAAGAATCTGCCATCTATGCTTTGTATAAACCAAACATATACATTTCACAATCTAGACTTTTTTCACCTTCATGCAACAGGTAGTTAGCTCGATGGAATTAAATTTAGTAAACAATGATTTATGAAAAAACAGCGAGAAAGGGAACAAGAAAATGAAAAGTCTGTCCTGAATCCATTTCCCAGTTGGCTGTGGTGAAATTACTCTCGGGCTCCCTCGTTGGCAAGCTTATGACACCAGGTCATATAGTTGACGGGCCGCATCTTCAGTTCGGCCTGCTTCAACGAGTACTTGTTGCCCTTCCACTGGTGCCAAGTAATTCCAATCCAGTGTTTCTTCATCGTTTTCGGCACGTACGGACCTGTCAGAGTGGTATGCATGCAGCTCTTGTGCCACCACGCGTTCTGGTACTCGACGGCGCATTTCTTACTCCAGGTGTCGTTATCCTGATCCTTGGTCGAGAACTTGGCCCCATTGCTGAGCGATGTCAGCGCGTCGCCCGTCTTGCCCTCGTACTTGCCGACCTTCAGCACGTACTTCTGCTGCTCGGAGCCCACAGAGAACGGTGTGTAGGTGGACGACACGGAGTTGTTCTCCCAGTCCTTCAGGTCCACACGGAGCTGCATCTGATCCATGCTGGTCAGCAGGCTCATGTACTCGTTGCCAAGCCAGAACTCGGCGCTGAGGTTGCCGAAGCCCCACTTGTAGCTGTCCCAGCCGAGGTCGAAGTCCTGGTGGTCGGGGAGGTCGGCGCGCCTCAGCAGCACGGTCCAGCCGCCGCCGTCCGTGTCCATGTCGCAGTAGACGCGGATGCCGCCGCCGTTGCCGCAGACAGGCGGGTAGATGGTGTAGACGCCGCTGCGCTGGTGGCGCTGCTGGACCGCCGCGCAGTCGGCCGGCCGCCACTCGTCCGTCCGCTGGAACTGGTCCGGGAAGCTGCACCGCTCCACGATCACGGTCGTGGTGGCCGGGGAGGCGGCGGCGGCGGCGGCGGGCCGACCCTCCTCCAGCAGCGTCACCAGCCGCTGCTGCGTGTCGTTGAGCTGCGCCTGCAGCAGCTGCTCCGACTGGCGGATCTCCTGGCTGAGGGTGCTGACCAGCTGCGGGTCGGCGGGCGCTGCCCGGGCCTCCTGCAGCACCCCGCGCAGCTCGGCGGCGGCCTCGGTCAGCCGGCCGCTGCCCAGCTCCCTGTACAGCTGCAGCACGCTGTTATCCAGCTGCGCCAGCTGTGTGTCCACCGTGTGCGTCAGCGACTCCAGACGGGCGGCCAGCTGGATCAGACGCTCATCCATCCTCTGCAGCCGGTCCGACAGAGCGCCAGAGGGCTCCGAGTCCGCGCCGATGCCGGAATCCAGCGGGATGTCGTGAGCCTGTGTGTTGCCCGCACTGAGAACGGCGCAGCTCAGCAGCCAGCACAGCACCAGACGCATCCTGACTGAATATTTAGACTGGGTTCGCCAGCCGAACGCTGCTCAGTCGTCTGCGAGACCCGTAACAGAAGTGCCGGTTCAGATCTAGCGGCGCCCTATAAATGAATCACCAAAGCCGAGCCGTATGACGATTAATACCAAACATTCGTGGAGTATGGTATACGACATAGTTTGATGCGACATAGCTCATAACTTTGGTATGGTTTTTCCGACGAATTCCCGCTCACTGTGGTTGCTCAAATATCGGAAAATTATCTCCGTTGCCCAAGTGCTTGGGTGTTTTTAATACTCATCGGAGCTTCACTAACTTCGTTATCAATGATATACCACTAATTAGTCCTGTGTATATACAAAATCAGTAAACACGGATCTGCTGGGATGACACAGTGACGGTAATTGCATTCATTGGGAAATTTCTTGTTTACCCTGTTGCAACCTCCGGGGTAGAACGTCGCACAATTTAGCCACCAACGATTCACCAAACCAGCGATAGGAGTAGAAAGGCTGTCTAGGTTTACAAATAGTGATAAGAATCGAGCACAGTTTGGAATTCTTGAAGTGGGAAGACCAATTGGTGATGACGGCCAGGATCTCCGACACATTTCAGATGAGATGGGTTCCTTCACATTTTTCCAATAAAGTAAAACGGTTGTGCATCTTTAATCAACAAATTTCCCACTAGACTTTGCCATTAAACCTTATTGCACATGTACCTACTTATCCATTCACAATATTTGTATAGATTTTATGATTTTCATAGTTTCATTAGCAAATTGTTTAAGCCGTTTTTATGATGAGTGAAAGCAAACGCATCTCATTAGTCCACTTCTCCGCCTGAATTAGAGTCTCTTGTGAATTTACAAGATGATGCTTCTGGCCAAAAGCAACTTTCGGAAGACGTTGACAGTGAATGGAAAACATGTTTTGATTACGACCCTCACCAGTCGAATAATTGCTTCCATCGCTTCTGTTCACCGATGCAACGGGAGCGCAGCTGACTACATAAATCCGCACATAACAGTTCCAGAAAGCAATTGGAACAACAGTCAGAGAGGAATGGATGCCACTTATACAGAGCCATTGAAAGAGACAAGCGGGAAGCACAAACACCACAAACAAGCGACGCCAAACTGCGCCTCAGAGTACCGCTCCTCTCCCTGGGCTCCCTAATTGAGTAGTCACGGAGGTGGTGACGTCATATTTCTGACAAAGTATCTTCATTATGTAAAGGTTTATCATTATATATATTTAGGTAATTAATTATAGGCTGTTTACTTCCAGACCCTCGATATCATAATCGGTGAAATATTTGAGGACGATGAAGATGACGACGATGATGAAGATGAAGTCAACGATGCTGAACTGCTTCGCAGGTGTGCAATTCCTACCTACCTAGTTATTTAAGCATTCCATTCATTTGGGCATATATGTGTTACAGGGAGTATGCGATTTCAGTTAGTTTGCAACGACCCTAGGGTGGTTGTAACCTCCCTGAACGATCAGTTTGTTTGCAACGACCCTAGGGACGTTACAAAATAACTGCTCGTTCCGGGACGTTGTAACGAAACTAGGGTCGTTGCAACCTCCCTAGTTAGTATGCAACGAACCTAGGGTTGTTACAAAATAACTAGGCAGTTTAAGAATTCATCGAGTCTCATTTCACATGAGGGCCGTCAGCAATCTTGTCCATTGAAAATCTTGTTCAATCTAGTTCATTTAAAAAGAAAAGAAGAACAAAATTTGAACATTCAGCTCAGGAGTATTTCACAACGGCCATCTAGTACACATTTTGTGCAGATTAGGTGCACATTTGGTGCAGATTTGTTCAAATTAGATGGGCATTTGCCAGGAAGCCCTTCGTAAAAACGGTTATTATCCGCTCGTTTCCAGTCTTTTTCTGATTGTTAACGTTCAAACATGTGAAATGATGATGGTCCCATGCATTATAGTGGGTGTCAAGGTCACGTGAAGGTCAGGTCAAGGTCATTGACCTTTGATGACTTAGTTCACTTCTTCTGGGTTCATATATTCTTTAGGCTAGTTTTTGGAGCTGATTTCGAATTTAGTACCCATTTGAACATTTAAGAAGTAATTTTGGCGCCTTCGTACCATGTCACGAGGCTGTCAGTGGTGGTTGACACCTACTATGGACAGCTAGCAAGACGCCTACTGGTTGACCTGACCTGACCTGACCCGACCTGACCCAAAAACATCAAGACATCATCGGTGATCAAAGCTAACATGAAATTCGTGATCAGCGCACCGAAAAACCTCGTAACAAGCTAACTCTCCAAAGTTTTAACAGGTCCCGATTTTCCCGACTTCTGAGTCACTGACCTGACCTGGAAAGTCAACCAATAACCTAGCCCCGCCATGTGCGTTTGCAGCTAGCAAAACACCAATAAGGGCGAGAGTTAACCCTCGCCCGCACATGCCATTTTCCCATCCTAGAACGCACATGGGGGGGGGGTTGCCACCCCCCCCCCGCGCCATTTCGTTCCTGTTGGAGATAGAGCTTCGCGGTAAAGACCAAAAAGATTCTTTGGGAAGAAACGAATCCAATGATACCCAGTTTTACCTTCTCAGGTCAGTCATTGACCTTCCAGGTCAGGTCAAACTAAAAAATGTTGCTGTTTTGGGTCACCGTTGGATATCAAGTGCGCTGCTTATCAAATACCGATGACGATGCTGTTTTCTGGTGCCAAGCCAGCTAGAACCTCTTTGTCACACTACCCGACCAGAATTTTGCTGCTGAGGTCATTTCAGGTCAAGTTAGGTCAAGGTCAATTATATGTGTTTGTATGTCTGTGTGTGTCTGTGTGTATACTGATGTGTGCACCGATTGTTTATGGGTCTATATCACATGAAATCATGATCTGAGAAGCTTTTACCAAAAATGCAGTCAAAAAACTTCACGAAAAGTAAATTCAGCTTGCCTAAAACGCAATTATTTTAGATGACCTAGGTTGACCTTAACCCTGACCTTGACATCTGTACATCGTCGAACAACATGTTCCATGATAGGTGGGAGGTAAGACTGGCAAAAAAGTCCAAAATCAAGGTGTCAAAAGCACACAAGGCCCATAGCCAACGCAAGATGTTGAGAATTGGCCATTTGGGTCATGACGACCTGAAAAACAAGGTCATATCTCCGAAACCAAAAACCACAAAAACTTGAATTTTTTAGTGAACATCTAGAAAGGATAGAGGAGCAGCTATACCAAAAATCAGGCTTCTAGCTCTAAAAATGTTGAGTGCAGAGCAGAAAGACTACCTGGGGGAGTGGCAACCACCCCCCATGTGCCCCCTGTGAAACGAGACTCGATGATTTCTTAAACTCCCTAGTTATTTTGTAACAACCCTAGGTTCGTTGCATACTAACTAGGGAGGTTGCAACGACCCTAGTTTCGTTACAACGTCCCGGAACGAGCAGTTATTTTGTAACGTCCCTAGGGTCGTTGCAAACAAACTGATCGTTCAGGGAGGTTACAACCACCCTAGGGTCGTTGCAAACTAACTGAAATCGCATACTCCCTGTAACATATGCACAGGTCTCGCGGGTTTCAGCGACAGGTTTTGCACCTATGAATTTTAGCATATCTTCGTCGTCTTCAGGCTTTTAAGTGTTGAAGATGCGATCGATTTGTTCGTTCACAAGTTTGCCATTATCGTATAAAATGGCTTCATCGTAGATCGATTAGTTTCTGAGATATAACGGGAAATGTAAAAGGGCAAAACCTGCCGCTTAATCTCGCGAGAGCCATACACTGTGCTTGTAGGGTTGGATCTTTGGGCGTCTCATCAAACAGTTGAAAGCGCCCTTAAGTAATTTGCCGATTGGTTGAAATTCACGTTTGGACTTTGGCAGGTAATTTCCCTCCTCTGACCTTTTGTCCGCGGGATAAAGTCAGCAGCTCTTACATAAAGGGATATGGGTGTGCGTAGAATCTCAACCAATAAAGTTGAATAACACTTTTAAGACGATTTAAATACACCTATTTTCCATACGAACATAATGTGCCTAATGAATTGGTCAGGAATGGGTGCAAAATGCAGCTGGCCTCACTTTGTCTCATTTCCGATGCCTCTCTGCGTCCGTTCAGAGCCACCATTGACTGTGCCAGTCAATGTCCGGACCGGTGCCTGAGAAACGAGTACTCCATCAGCCTGCTCAACTCGGCCCAGCTGCCGGCCAGTTACCCTTACCGGGGCGCGGCCTCTCTGAGAATATTTGTCAGTCCGCGGGTGGAGGTAAGCTACATAATCAACCCGTATGGTAATGATAGTGCATCCACAATAAAAAATAATTTTATTGATATCAAAGCTATGGGAATAGAACAGTCTAGGGAAATATTATGTCATTAACTCCACTTGTCTGCATACCGACAGATCCATCAAGAGCACTACGAGTACGACTTACGCCGGCTGGCTTCAGAGTTCGGGGGCCTTCTCGGCCTTCTGGCAGGAATCAACCTCTTCCAGGGCATCAACCACGCCATCGACGCCCTCAGCTGGCTGGCCGACCGGGCGAGAGACCGCTGCCGGCGCCGGCGCGGGCCGGGGGACGAGCCTGCCGTCCTCGGTGCCGCCCGGCTTGATGTCAAACCCAGCGTACAGGCGTTGACCAAAGTGAGCGTCGCCTCGAATCCACCAGCCCTTCAACTGCCATTTTGAAAAGTCTAACGTTCTGAGAGGAATCAATACATGCAACAAACTGATTCCCTGGACATTGCCAAGAACAAGGACGGGCCCGATGCCGTATATGTAGATATGTTCCCTTTTACTGGAAGGTGCTTGAGGCTGGTTGGATGACATGAGCAATCAACACATACAAGTTACAACGTATATGTATCCATCGAGTCATTTTTTCGCATGCGGAAACGCTTTATCCCCCACGCATTAGCCTTTATGTGTATATGTTGTAATGGTCGTTGCAATGAGCATAGTATACATACATGTTCTATTACTGAAATCAGAGGCATATAGCCATGCCTAGATATCTTTACCTAGGTAAATGTATACCTCTTTGATGATGGAAAGCGTCAGAATTAGAGGTGGCAAAATGTGGA